CGTGGGCCAGAGGGCGCCCGCCAGGGAGGCGGCAGGGCCTGGGCACGCCGCTTGGCTGCCGCGCTGTCTCGCCGTCTTCGCGGGGGAGGGCGGCAGGCCCAGACGGCGAAGGCGCCGCGCGCTGCGCGAGGCTGCGCTCGCTCCTCGGGGTCGGCGCGCCGCCCGAGGCGGAGGAGGAGCTGAGGATGCGCACGGAGGCGCCGGGACTCTCCAGCCTACAGTGGAGGGCCGACGGGGTGCTCGGAGCCCACAGGCATCGACCTGGCGGCGCTCTGCGGAACCGTCGTTCAACCCGTGGACTGTCCTACGAGGTCGTCAACTCGTTCAAGCAGGTCGAAGTGCACGGGGGCATGACCCGACATCTCCCTCTCAGCGCGGGCGTTTCGTTCGACTCGGGCTCGCAGGAGGGGGCGATGAGTTCTTTCATCTTCAGCCGCGACGCGCCTGAATTCGTGCCGATCTGGGAGCCCACCGGCCAGAACAAGGAACCGTTTGTGATGCACTTGGCGGGCCCCGTGTGCACATGCGGTACCGCGGAGATTCGTCGGGGCGGTGGCAACCGTGGTTCTACACCTCTCGGAGGCAGGCGGCGTGCTGGACGGTCAGGGAGGCACTGGTCATCAGGCCTTCTCTACCGTCCCAGCGGCCAACAAGGAGCTGCCGCCGCCCGCAGAAAGATGCACTGATCATCGAGTCCTCTCTCCAGTTTCAGTGACTGCTGTGGAAGAGTCCGCATGTGAACTGCCAGCACGTGTTCCATCAGCTAAGGAACTCGACGAGGCACTCCTGCAGGCTGACCGAGTTGCAGGGTTCGTTGGGCCCAGATCAGCTCAGTCAAATCGCAGCGTTCTACATGATACTATGATACGCCGAAGCTCAGCAGGCAGCACGAGCAGGAGACAGCAGACATCGACTTATACATAGCAGCTCGTTGAGAGGATCTGGAGGAGTGGAGACGAGATCGCGGGCGCCCCAAGCCTTTCGTGCAGCTGCGCGAAAATCTAGATACAGTTGACACCGATGAGAAAGCCTATCCGCAGATTCGAGTCGGCCCGCGATCATTGCAAATTGGGCCGAGTACAAGACGATTGCAATAATGTTTTGTGCGTGCTCGCCGCATGCGTTTTGGAATCGCTCGTATAACGCGTGGAAGTTGCAATCGCGCGGTGAGCTTTGGCCAACCTTTCCTGCTTGCACACCATTTGCGCGCGTGTTTCTCGCCCCCTCCTTCGTCTCACACTTGCTCTCGCTGCCCCAGGTGCCCAGGAGGCCTCAGTCGTGATGGGGGCTGTGCGGGCGTTTGGTTCGGCGGGCTCTCGCAGGCAAATGGCGCCTCGAAGCTCGCAGGGCAGTCGGCCAGAAGGGCCCTCGCAGCCAGCAGAGCTCGAAGGCAGAAACTGGTTTCGCGAGGGAACAGGCTCGTCCTGGCGGCCGCAATGCACTTTTCAGAATATTGCCCCCCGCGGCGCCCCCCCCCCCCTCCCCCTGCCGCTTCCCTCAGCGCGCCCCCCCCTTCCCCCCTCCCTCGCTCTCGCGACCCGCACTGCGCGGGCCGCGTCAGCCGGGGGCGGCGGCGGGCCGGGGGGGTCAAGGTGGGCCGCGGGGAAGGCCAGGGAAAGAATGGAGAGCGCGCCTGCTGCCTGTCATGCTTCTGCGCGCGAAGCGCGCGCTGCGAGCGGCGGGCGCGCGGCGCGGCCGAAGTGTCGTTGCTGCGTGAGGTTCGGCGTGTTCCCAAGCCGTTGCGTCGCGCCGTGGGCAGTTGCCGCCCGCCGCGCTGGCCTCGGCGCGCCCGGCCCGTGGCCGGCGACCTTGCCGCTGTGCTGAACGTGCGTTAGATGTGTGTTCGTGCGTTCGCGTTTCTGTTGGCAGTCGCGCTTGTCTGGGCGGCTGTGCTCGGGGCTTGGTGGCCGAGTGGGGGGGCGGGAAAGGGGGCGGGGGGAGCGCGCGCGATCGCGCGCGCTCGCCCCGCGTGGGATTGGGCCGCTCCTCATTGTCCAGGGCCGCGCGCGTGCCCTCGAAGATCTGCCCCCCCGACTGTTTCGCGGGCAATGGGGGCGGCGCGCTGCGGCGAGGAGGCGGCGCGCGCGCGGGCGGGGGGGGGGCGGGGGAGGGGGGGGGGGCGCGGGAGGAAGAGGAGGGGCGACTAATATTGACGAGCTGGGGGAAGAGCAGGATGATGAGGAGGAGGGCCATATGTCACCGACAAGATGCTCTGCAACGGTTCCCTCGCCACCCCCTGCCCCAGCGCGCGGCGATTGCGCCTGGGCCGGCCGCGCTGAGGCAGACGACCAAGCGGGCCCTCGCCCTGGAGCGCATGAAGGGCCGCCGACAGACCGCCCGGCGCCGCGCCGCAGACAGAACCACGAACAAGACAACCAGTCTCACAGCGCTAGCAGACGACAACAGGGTGCCGCGCGACGCGGCAAGACGGGCCGGGCGGCTGCGGCGCCAACCGAGGTCGGCGTCGCGCGGCCCCGCGGCGTCGTTGAAGCCGCTCGGCCACAGCCTTCGCCGCGACGCAAGCTGGGCCAGCGCTTGGACGGAGGTCATATAGTGGATTTGCGCGTATGTCCATGCCAGCGAGCAACCGGCAGAGTCGACCGACCTGCAACGGGCATTGCGAGTGGCCAGAAGCGTGCCCAACAAACTCGCGACAACTGTGGATCCAGTCACCATCAGGCACCCACGACGTCAAGCGGACATGGTTCGCCAGGATCAATGGCACAAGGTTCTCGGGCCTCACCGCAATTTTTCGACGCGCCACCGTTGCCGATCATGCCGCCAACGCCGCGCGAGCCCAGCTTCATGCGTTACCGATGCGGGGCGAGATTTTGCAAGAATAACGCCTGTTACGCCCGCCTCGGGGAGCGCGGCAGTCCCGGGGCGCGTCCCGCGAGATGGGCGCGCGGATCCACGCGCGCGACGCGCGGCTGCCGGCGCCGCCGCGCACGCAGGGCTCGTCAAGCACTTGCAGGCAAATCCATCATGTGCAGTGCCATGGATGACAGCGCCGAATCACTCCAACGACGACGAGGCGGAGGATATCCGCGAGACCACGCGAGCAACGCAGGGGGTCAAACGCCTGAAGATGCTTACATGCCAAGTTACCAGACCGACATTGCTCCGACCAACGCGACAGGCACGCATGCGACTCTCGACAACGCACCGACGGTTGAGATACCTGCAGCCGGCGTAGGCCCCGTCAACCCACCAATGCCGCGACCGCCAGGGGGGCCAGCGCGCATTGTCTTCGCCTACGCAGCGGGCATCGACGAGAAGGGGGCCTCCAAGAGTGGGCGTGGCACTTCCGACCCCGATCCAGTGCGCGCATATGCGCGCGGTCCATCGACGTCGCCAACGACGCCGTCGCAGGGGGTCTCGCCAACTGGGCCGCCATCGACTTCTGGATCAACCTGACGCGCCAAGGCAAAGTGGCAGCAGTGATGGCAGGGTCACCCTGTGTGCCGCCCGCGTCGCGGGGGCGCCCGCCATCGTTGAGCGCCCCGGAAATTTCCGCTAAATCAGACGCGTGCCCTGAACTGCAACCTCTGCTGCGACGGCCAAACGTGCGCATCATTTCCTTCGACCGGTGCGTGATGGGTCAGATCGCGCGTGAACCTTTGAGTTTACTTGGGATCGGAGTCCGAGAGCCGCCGGCGCGGATATCTGGGGGGCCCAGTCGGCGCAGATGCAACCGCAGCCATGCAGCGCGCCCGCCGCTGTTCGGGCGTAACCAGGGCGGCGCTCGGCGCAGCGCCGCCGCCGAGGCATGCCCCGCTGAGCTCAACAAGACTCGGGCAGCGGCCGCATCGGGGGCTTGCAGCTCGGGATGGACCGCAGCGCCGACCACAAACCAATGGGACATCGAGGATACCCACGCACCCTTCCGCGCGCCACTGGACATTCTTCGACTTCCAACGCAGCGCCGACTGCGCGACACAAAGACGCCTCCAGCCAGGGCATCAGATGCCAGCCGCCTGACTCGAGACTCCGCAGGGGGCACTAGAACGCTGGTGGTCACTTTGGGAACAACTGCTGCAGAGTGCGTCATCGCCCCCATGTGGTTTCACTTCGCCTTTCGGAATTCGACGGCCACATTGGCGGCCCACATTATCCGGGGCATGTCCCCTGATAGGTGATGCCTCAACTGAAACTTTAGCTATGCCTACGAGGGGTTCTCGCTTGCCTGAACTGAAGGGGGGCCGCCCCCCCCCCGCGGCAGTCCACGAGACCCTCGGAAGCGACAGAATACAAAAAGAGGGTCCGTCGAACCAACCGCCCGCTGCTGAACAGCCGTCGCGCCCCCGCGCTCCAACCCGCGAGCCGCGCGCAACTGGCTCGAGGGATCGGGCGCGACCTCGCAGTCGCTGGCGTCTGAGGCTACAATCCGATTCGGCATGGGCTTGCCGTCGATGGAGGGATTTGTAGACCTGCGCTCAGACGCAGCGCTCAACGACGGCATCGCGCCGTGCATCGCGATGATTTGCCGCGGAATCTTCCACCGACTTCCGAATATCACCCCATCCATCAAGGCCAAATTCAGGATTGCCGAGGGCACGAGGACCTGACATTCAAGGACGCAGAGAGAGTGCTACAGCCGCAGCAACATGCACGACCACATATTGCACCAAGCGCCCCGCATTAATTCCAACGCCAGTAGCGTATCAGCAACAAGTTGGAAACGGTCGGGGCCGCTGACCCCTTGTGCCAAAAATTCGCGCCCGCTGCTGGCGCTTGAGCCACACTACGAACTAGAGCCAAACTGGTTACGGATGGGGAGGAGGAGGCGGAGGTGGAGGTGGGGGACGAGGAGGATGGAGAGGAGGAACAGATTGAATTCAGCATCGGCGCTGGCATATTCGTAGTCGAAAACTTGCCTCTCCAGTCCAATCCCGCTAAGTCTGGTTTCGTTCCGCGAAGTCCGGCTCACTCTTGGGCTCAATCTGGCTTGATCCGGCTTTCTCGCCCCATAGTCGGGTTATCAAGCTTAATCGTCCTGACTGTTTCTACCAAAGCCTGCCCTCCCTCCTCCGATATTCCTTTTCCTTATAGGGAACTCCTCCTTGTCGCACTCCTCCTTGTCGCACCCCGAGGCTGGTCGAAAGGGTGGGCCGGGCGTTTCGCTTGAGATCTCCCCACCACTTGTGACCTTGACGTTTCAAAATTGGCAACAGTTTCACACATGGGGGGCGGGTGGTTTTCAAAATGTGGCTCTCGCCTAATCGCCGCGCGGAGCTTCGCGAATTGAGGGCGGGCGGTTTCCAAAATGTGGCGCTTGCCTTGGCGCCGCGCACATTCGTTTCAAACATTCGCAAGAGCTTCACGGATTGAGGGCGGGCGGTTGCCAAAATGTGGTTCTCGCGTTCGTGTCGCGCACATTCGTTTACAAATGTTCAAGTGCTTCACGGATTTAGGATGGTTCTTTTTCAAAATGTGGTTCCCGCCTTGGCGCGGCTACGCTCGTCTTGCGGGCTTCACGGATTGAGGGCGGTTTGCTTTCAAAATGTGGTTCTCGCTTTAGCGCCGCGCACACTTGTGTTCAACCTTTTGCACGAGTTTCACGGGTTCCCATGGTCAGCGTACCAGAAGCGGTGTTTTGGAATGATTCAGGATTGTGACGGTGCAACAGTCACGTTGGTCAACAGTCACGTTGGTTCGCGGTGTTGAAGTCCCCTGACTTGTGTCGTGGCAAGATTCAGGATCGTCAAAACGTAACAGTCAGGTTGAATCGTGGCGTTGGAGTTCCGACAATGGTGTTTTGGCATGCTTCAGGGTCTTCAAACGGTTGTCCCCCAACGGGGCAGTTCCCTCAATGGAAATGAACCCTTGTAGGGGCATATGAAGAGGGCGCTCGGGGGGAGGGTTTATTCCAACATCGTTGGTGAGTCTTGGGTTTGCACTGGTCCTCCTCCTCCTCCTCCACCTCCCCTTCCTCCTCCTCCATCATCCACTTCATCCTTCCTCCATTCTCCATTTCATCCCTCCTCCTTCCTCCTCCTCCTACTCCTTCTCCTCCTCCTCCTCCTCCTCCTCCTCCTCCTTGTCCTCCTCCCCCTCCATCCTTTACCCCGATGCGCGCGAGCGCCCGCCCGCAGAAGTCCGGCGGCGGGAAGTGCTGCGCGCTGATGTGAGGCTCCGGGCGGAGGCGGCCGGCGGCGCTTCCTCGTCCATCTCTCGGCATGGAGAGGAAGGAAAAAGGAGGAAGAGAGACGAGGGAGGGGGAGGGTGGGGGGGGAGGAGGGCGAGGAGGAGGAGGAGGCGGAGGAGGAGGCGGAGGAGGAAGAGGGGGAGGAGGAAAAGGAAAAGGAGGGATGAGGGAGGGGGAGGGGGAGGGGGAGGGGGAGGGGGAGGCGGGGGAGGAGGAGGAGGAGGAGGAGGAGGAGGAGGAGGAGGAGGAGGAGGAGGAAGACGAGGAGGAGGAAGACGAGGAGAAGGGGGAGGAGGATCTATGCGGATCTATGCGATGCAGCAGGTGACGACGCAGCGGTGCGGCGGCGGCCACTGGTTCAAAAGAGAACCCACGCCTCAGGCCGACCCTGGTCGCTTGCGGATGTCTCGCACTTGTGACAAATTGTCGCACGAGCGGATCTCTGCACTATAGCCTTGTATTGCTCGTTCGACCCCCCGCGGTAACATAACCTGCTGCCACTGCCTTGGTTCTCGCACGACCCGTGCCCAGCACTGCAGCGAAGAACCTTCCCGGCCCCACGATCACCTTGTGGCACAGCGTAGCTGTTGATGACATCGGGCTCGAACTTCACCTCCCACTTCTCGCAGGATGGCGTCCGAGCCGCCGAGCCGTCCAGCTTCGCCTCCCACTTCTCGCAGTGCAGCTGCGGATAGCTGATGATGTCGGGCTTCGACGGCCTTGGGCTCCAGCTTCGCCTCCCCCTTCTCGCACACGTTGAGCGCTGTTCCCAGCGCTACTGGTGCCTAGTTTGGGCTCCCGCTTCGCCTCCCGCTTCTCGCAGGATAGGGTCTCGGCGTTCTCGCTTGCATTGATCCCAAGTTTGTAAGTGACGACGTCGGGCTTTCGCTTCGCCTTCACCCTCTCGTCGAGAAGCGCCAGAGCCTGCTGCCACTGCCCGCCTTTCTTACGTGAGCGAGTCCGCCGTTGGGTGTGCCCTGATCCCAGCGCTGAAACTGATAACATTGGGCTCGTCCATCGCCTTCCCCTCGCTCACGCTCGCAGTAATTGTTTGTCGTCGCCGCGCTGTAGCTGACGACATCTGACGACATTGGGCTCGTCCTTCGCCGTCCCGTCGCCTTCGTGCTCGCTGCACGTCGCCGTCAACTTGTAGCTGATGACGTCGGGCTCGTCCTTCGACGACGCCAGCGCTGTAGCTGATGATATCGGGCTCGGGCTTCACCTCCCGCTGTTCACGGGTAGGTGTCGGGCCGGCGCTCTCCCAGATCCCAGCGCTGCCGCTGCTGGCATCTTGCTCAAGCTTCGCCTGGTCGCCGCTGTTGTACCTGCTGAGATTGGGCTCCGCTCCTTCTCTTGCGCTCTTGCCGCTCGCGTCATGGGTGAACATGATGGGCATTATGAGACTGTTTGGTGACCTGATCTCAGCCTGAAGGGTGACCCGCACCGCGCGTCCTTGATGGCGAGGCGAGAGAGTTGGAAAGAAGGACGGAGAGAAACGAGGACGCCATCGTTTGCGCGTGCCTCGGCGGGGCCTAGTCCCAACGCTGATGCTGCGGACGTGGGGACCCACCATTCTTGATGGCTCATCAACCGCATTGCCACTCCCAAGTTGGCGACTGAAAACCCGGGCCCCCTCCTTCCCCGGGAGGAATGGCTGGGGAGGAGGAGGAGGAAGAGAAGGAGGAAGAGGAGGAGGTGGAGGAGGGGGAGGAGGAGAAGGAGGAGGAGGAAGAGGAAACGGGAACTCAAACGAAAAAGGATGCACGAGGGAGCGGGATGGGGGAGGAGGATTGGGGAGGGGAGGGGGGAGGAGAAAGACGAGAAAGAGGAGGAGGAGGAGGAGGAGGAGGAGGAGGAGCCAGAGTAGGAGGAGGAGGAGGAAGAGGAGGAGGAGAGGTGGATGAGGGATGGTAGAGGGGGAGGAGGAGGAGGAGAGGAGGAGGAGGAGGAGGAGGAGGAGGAGGAGGAGGAGGAGGAGGAATGGGCGGAATGGGCGGTGAGGCGGGTCAGCAGCGGCAGGCGCACGCAGCCCGAGGAGAAGATTACTAGGCCAGGGGAGGAGCAGCAGCAGCATCGGGAGCAGGCACGGGGGGTCCCAGGTCGGCCTCGAACCTTCGGACCTCCTCCGTGCTAAGCTCTCTCGGATCTGCATAGTGCTCACGCTCCCTGGGATGCCTGCCCTGTCGCAGGCGGTTCCTATGGGTCTTAGCATTCTTATCTGAGGAGGAGGAGGAGGAGGAGGAGGAGGAGGAGGAGGAGGAAGAGAGGGATGGATGAGGGATGGTAGATGGGGAGGAGGAGGAAGAGGAGGAGGAGGAGGAGGAGCTAAACTTGGAGCTGGAAGAGGAGAGAAAGAAGGAGGATGTGGAGATCCTCTTAACAGGACTCCCCTGGGGGCGCGATGGCGAAACGCCTCCAGTAGCGGGACACTGCCAGGAGGTAAGCTCGTGTGTTGTTTGTGGGTGTGCACGTTATGTTCTTGGACGTGCAGCGCTTGCCCAGTGTACCCAGGAGGAGGAGGAGGATGAGGAGGAGGATGAGGAGGAGGAGGAGGATGAGAGGAGGAGGAGGAAGAGGAGGAGGAGGAGGAGCTTCGCCTGAGACGAGTTCAGGTGTGATCAGTGCTGTAAGGCATCAGGCTTCGCGGCCCACATGCGGCAGCTTTCGTGGCTGACGAGACGTGCTGCGCCCCCCTCACTACGCAGGAGGAGGATGAGGAGGAGGACCATGTATTAGGCCAGGACTTTGTACATACTTTTGCACTTATAATTTTTCTTTTGGGAGGATGAGGAGGAGGAAGAGGAGGAGGAGGGGAGGAGGAGGGGAGGGGAGGGGAGGGGGAGGAACAGGAGTGCTCTTGGCACGACGCAAGGTGGTCAGGGCCAACCTTAAGCTGCAACTCCGGGGGAGGGGTCAATTCAGCATCGGCGCTCGTGTATCCATGGTCGAAACTGGCATAATCCCACCCAATTCCGCTCAATCCCGCCTGTCGGCTGAATTGTGGCTTAATGCTGCTCTATGCTTGGCTCAATGTGCTCTCCTCCTGTGCAGTTTCCCTTCAGTGGTGGCTTGATGGCCCTTACGTGTTCGTTCTTACGGGTACTTCCTGGAAGTCGCCCCCCAGTCCCCTCGTCTCGGGTCGGACGAAAACGGGGGACATGATGAAACCAAAGAGCTCTCAAGCTGTGGATGCGCAATCTTTTCCTGCCTGGCTCTAGTGCATGTCAAAGAGTCATTTCTAGATTCGAGCCTCGGCGGGTCGGACGAAAACGGGGGATTGGGGAAGGGGGGGGGGTACGAAATCTGCTGCATGCAGCCGATTTCCGCCCAGCCGCGTGGCGCCGTTCCTCGATGCATCGGCGCCTCCCGGCGCCGGAAGGCGCCGGAGAAGTCGATTACGCGGGTTGATCCGCCGACCCCCCTGAACTACCGCCCTTTTTCTTCGGACCCGATCCTCGCCCTGTTTCGGGCAAGAGCGTCCTGGAATGCGCTCAGAGCGTAACGGCCAGAGAAGTCGGCTACGCGGGTTGATCCGCTAACCCAACTACCACTTTTTACCCCTTTTCTTCCGACCCGATCCTCGTCCTGTTTCGGGCAGGGCTGCACGACAGGGATAGGTCGTTCAAGAGCATTCCAGAACGCGCTCAGAGCGTAATGGCCGGAGAAGTCGGCTACGCGGGTTGATCCGCTAACCCCCCGTTTAACTACCACCCCTTTACCCCTTTTCTTCCGACCTGATCCTCTGCTTGTTTCGGGCAGGGCTGTTCGACAGGGATAGATCGTTCAAGAGCGTTCCAGAACGCGCTCAGAGCGTAACGGCCAGAGAAGTCGGCTACGATGGTTGATCCGTTAACCGCTTTTAACTACCACCCTTTTACCCTGTTTCTTCCGACCCGATCCTCGTCCTGTTTCGGGCAAGAGCGTCCTGGAATGCGCTCAGAGCGTAACGGCCAGAGAAGTCGGCTACGCGGGTTGATCCGCTAACCCAACTACCACTTTTTACCCCTTTTCTTCCGACCCGATCCTCGTCCTGTTTCGGGCAGGGCTGTACGACAGGGATAGGTCGTTCAAGAGCATTCCAGAACGCGCTCAGAGCGTAATGGCCAGAGAAGTCGGCTACGCGGGTTGATCCACTAACCCCCCGTTTAACTACCACCCCGTTACCCCTTTTCTTCCGACCTGATCCTCTTCTTGTTTCGGGCAGGGCTGTTCGACAGGGATAGATCGTTCAAGAGCGTTCCAGAACGCGCTCAGAGCGTAACGGCCAGAGAAGTCGGCTACGATGGTTGATCCGTTAACCGCTTTTAACTACCACCCTTTTACCCTGTTTCTTCCGACCCGATCCTCGTCCTGTTTCGGGCAGGGCTGTACGACAGGGAAAAATCGTTCAAGTGCGTTCTGGAACGCGCTTAGAGCGTAACTTCTGGAAAAGTCGGCTACGCGGGTTGATCCGCTAACCCCCTTTAATTATCACCCCTTTACCCTTTTTCTTCCGACCTGATCCTCGTCCTGTTTCGGGCAGGGCTGTACGACAGGGATAGATCGTTCAAGAGCGTTCCAGAACGCGCTCAGAGCGTAACGGCCAGAGAAGTCGGCTACGCGGGTTGATCTGCTAACCCCTTTTAACTACCACCCCTTTACCCCTTTTCTTCCGACCTGATCCTCGTCCTGTTTCGGGCAGGGCTGTACGACAGGGATAGATCGTTCAAGAGCGTTCCGGAACGCGCTCAGAGCGTAACGGCCAGAGAAGTCGGCTACGCGGGTTGATCTGCTAACCCCTTTTAAATACCACCCCTTTACCCCTTTTCTTCCGACCTGATCCTCGTCCTGTTTCGGGCAGGACTGTACGACAGGGATAGATCGTTCAAGAGCGTTCCGGAACGCGCTCAGAGCGTAACGGCCAGAGAAGTCGGCTACGCGGGTTGATCTGCTAACCCCTTTTAACTACCACCCCTTTACCCCTTTTCTTCCGACCTGATCCTCGTCCTGTTTCGGGCAGGGCTGTACGACAGGGAAGATCGTTCAGAGCGTTCCGGAACGCGCTCAGAGCGTAACGGCCAGAGAAGTCGGCTACGCGGGTTGATCTGCTAACCCCTTTTTTTACCACCCCTTTACCCCTTTTCTTCCGACCTGATCCTCGTCCTGTTTCGGGCAGGACTGTACGACAGGGATAGATCGTTCAAGAGCGTTCCGGAACGCGCTCAGAGCGTAACGGCCAGAGAAGTCGGCTACGCGGGTTGATCTGCTAACCCCTTTTAACTACCACCCCTTTACCCCTTTTCTTCCGACCTGATCCTCGTCCTGTTTCGGGCAGGGCTGTACGACAGGGATAGATCGTTCAAGAGCGTTCCGGAACGCGCTCAGAGCGTAACGGCCAGAGAAGTCGGCTACGCGGGTTGATCTGCTAACCCCTTTTAACTACCACCCCTTTACCCCTTTTCTTCCGACCTGATCCTCGTCCTGTTTCGGGCAGGGCTGTACGACAGGGACAGATCGTTCAAGAGCGTTCTGGAACGCGCTCAGAGCGTAACGGCCAGAGAAGTCGGCTACGCGGGTTGATTTGCTAACCCCTTTTTTTACCACCCCTTTATCCCTTTTCTTCCGACCTGATCCTCGTCCTGTTTCGGGCAGGGCTGTACGACAGGGATAGATCGTTCAAGAGCGTTCCGGAACGCGCTCAGAGCGTAACGGCCAGAGAAGTCGGCTACGCGGGTTGATCTGCTAACCCCTTTAACTACCACCCCTTTACCCCTTTTCTTCCGACCTGATCCTCGTCCTGTTTCGGGCAGGGCTGTACGACAGGGATAGATCGTTCAAGAGCGTTCCGGAACGCGCTCAGAGCGTAACGGCCAGAGAAGTCGGCTACGCGGGTTGATCTGCTAACCCCTTTTGACTACCACCCCTTTACCCCTTTTCTTCCGACCTGATCCTCGTCCTGTTTCGGGCAGGGCTGTACGACAGGGATAGATCGTTCAAGAGCGTTCCGGAACGCGCTCAGAGCGTAACGGCCAGAGAAGTCGGCTACGCGGGTTGATCTGCTAACCCCTTTTAACTACCACCCCTTTACCCCTTTTCTTCCGACCTGATCCTCGTCCTGTTTCGGGTAGGGCTGTACGACAGGGATAGATCGTTCAAGAGCGTTCCGGCCGGAACGCGCTCAGAGCGCTACGGAGCGGTCTCAAACGGTCGCGGCAACTGGTGTATCCTCCATAACCGCCGGATCTCAGAGGTCCCCGAGCTGTCCCCACCCGATTTTGTCCGTGACCTCTCGGGGGCTGCAGAGAGGGGGCATGACACGGGACTTGTGGGGGTGGATCTCATGGCCAGGGCCATCATATCTCCCCAGATGACG